CGCTCGCGCCTTAGTTCTGGTCGGAGTACTTACGCGAGAATTACGTTATTTCCGAATTACCATTACGATTGCGATTATCACAATTTCACAACTTCAAAAAAAGGATTACTGTCTATATACGGTTTTCATCATACGAGATCCAAAGAAACGATGCATGAATGACAGAAATGCAACAGGGTAATCATCTCATACTTTTAAATTGTATATTTTTTAAAATACCTCCTGTTATACTTCCGAGAAAACTGATCCAAATAAAACCATATTGATTTGATACGCTTCTTTATATCGTTCAAAGCTTTATTCGAGTGAATACAAACAAACTCGATCTCACTGGATCTTAGGTAGTATATTTCAATCTGGATTACCACCCGAGTCCAGAATCTCCATCACCGCCTTTAACAGGGGACTTCATCAGTTCCCTCTGGTAACCTGCTACTGACCCGATTCCTGGGTGCGAAATCATCCAATTAATGAGCAGATGCATGTAATAATAATAATAACAATAATAATAATAATAATAATAATAATTGTTATTATTATTATCATGGTAAGTGAAGTGATGCCAAGTGCATCCATTGGAGTAACTCTTTCGATGAGGTACGGTGGACCAATATACCCATTTAAAACGAGTAAGAGATGACAACAATCGCAAGCAACAATAACAGAGAGAAAAGGATGAACACGGTCGACGCTTAAATCCGGACCACAGAATCACAGATGCCCGATTTACTAAAAACACGAGCGAGATAAGGGGTGCTGACATTTCGCGAAATGTTAGTACGTGATTCGGAGAAGCCGAGATCTGAAGCGAGCACGGGGATGAGACACTCATCGAGATGAACATACAGACAGTCAAACACCTGCATCAAAATGCGTGTACACAATAAATTTCCAAAACAGTCTGTGCACTATAATTACAATGGGATATTAGTCTACTTGATCTGGATGAATGCAGGCTGTCTCAAATTTGGAGCCTAACTGAAAGTATGCCTGGGGGTTTCAGTCCTGATTGGATCGATTTGCAACTGTCTGGGCTTTTCCATCCATTCCCCGGATTGGGGCGAGCATCATTTCGCATTCTTGATTAAGCAGTTTTTCACGTTTTTATCGGTTCAAGATGGTTCTCATTCATTTTCGCGTAGATGACCATATGATAATTATTGTTATCATCATGAGACCGAATTTCAAACATCTGAGTCATCCGTTACTAAATGTAATTGTAAAACATGCAGGGACTATTTTCGACAATGATTAATTGCCCTCATCGAAATTGAGAGGAAGCGGCGTTCCCGGGAGTATGTCTTTATTGATTCTCTCGTTGATATCATTCAAAGTAACATTTTACCATATTAATCCGCAGTCTGGATGAACACCTAAGACACCATTTAAAATCCAATAAATAAACATTACAAACAAATATACTGGCACTCACCTTGACGGTTGTTTACTTGCATCAGAACTTTCGGTTGAAACGGATCGCACGAATATCTCGTCATCGACAACACTGCTGTAGGCAGTTTTGCTTTGTGCGGCCACATCCGGATAGATAGATGTGTCCGTCCAACGATCCAGTTCCCCTCCATCAATCACACCCGGCTTGATTGCACCGGTCTGACAACCGATACTGACCAGAAGTTTTGTAGACGGTTCTGCGTATTGTTTCCATTGGGAAACACTTCTCAGGGAAGATTCAACAGTTTCCTCGTATCTTCTTTGACCTGTTCGTGAACTCCATTCTAATCCATCGGTTGCTTGCAACCCAGTCATAATCACTGCCTGAAGCTCGCTATCAGCCCAGCTCCAATCCTCGGTATGTAACACAGAGTCCAAGGAAATAGGTGATGTCTGTGCAGATTGCGTAGCTCTGAGGTACAAAGATTTGTCATAGGATGCACTGAAAATGTCCCGATCAACAGTTTCTTGACTTTCCCGATCTACGAGGCTCGATTCAGTTTGAACTCCTAATTCACAAACCATCATACCCGGCTCGTCGGATGACAGTTCCTCGGTGATTTGCAATTTACTCACTACTCGTTTCCGTTTCTTCTGTCTCACTTCGAGAATCTGCTCCTCACTTCTACTCCTACCCTCCACGTCTCCTATTTCTTCTTCCGCGTCGGTATCCCATTGAGTCCATGCTTCAGCCAGTTGATCCCTCAAAAGTCGATGATGATAAACCTCAAACGTTTCTTCGCGTTGACCAAATCCATCAAAATCAGTGGAGAAATGCAATTGTAGATCTTCTGTTTGCGTGCCATCTGAGTAAACAAGGGGAGCAGCAAGACACTGTTCCTCGTTAAGCTGACCCATACGTTTTCGTAGAACGTATTGCTCGTAAGGATCCACATTACTGACAGGTGAAGGTGTACGCAAAATGAGTGATTCCATCTCCCTTTCGAATACGCCAGTTGTGGCTGTAAATTGCACCCCCATATCCGCAACCATGGTATCGTCCAGAGTTGTATAGGTGCTTTGTTCGCGAACATAACCGGAATCGTGTAGGGTCTGGTATGATTCGTAGGTTGAGCACACTTTCTTCAAACTTTCCCATATCTCAGTCATACTAAACTCTTCTTTGATTTCTCGGAAACTGAGTCGTGTACTACACTGAATGCCAACATCAAACGAGTCTTTTGATTGTTTCTTCAATCCAATGACACCGGGTAACTGCGGGGCTGGAATGGCACTGGCTGTGGTGACTTCTCGTTGAGGAGTAATCAGTGGAGGGGAAGTGAAGTCCGTAGTACAAGATCTTTCTTCAATTCTTCCTTGGCTCATTTCCATTTCATATGCTTTCAGATCATAACTCTTTTTGATAGTCTCTTTCAATTCGATAATTTCTGTTTCGCTGATTTCTTTCCAACGTGAAATGAATGACTGATCAGTCGGCTCCATAACCAGTGCCTGCACCTCAACGTCAGCGACGAGGGCAGCGTCCCGTGGTGGGGCGTAATAGTAATGTTCAATAAGCCGTTCTCGGTAGTCAGTTACACTCTTGTTATGTAGCAAAACAGTGGGACTCAAACAGATATCAGATGTTAATACTGAGGCGTCGGAGTAATTGACGGCCGTTTGACAGAATACGTCAGCAAGATCTGGAGTGAAAGCAAACTGAGTTGCACAGGTCTTTTTGAAAACGGGAGGCTGCCAATGCACGCTTCTTGTCTGAATTCCGACTGGTTCATCCCGACCGGTCATATTGGAACCATCAAGCAATTCATCGTCAAGCGTACCCTCTGGGAGAAAATCAGTTTCACGCTCGTCTTCCTCATTCGTTGGAAGGTAACCACATTGAGTACAGCGCCGCTGGGTTGACGACAGGAGTTTATGACTGGATGCACTACATAGAATACTGAAATGAGGTGTACCGGTTGCCTGAACTTCAGCGTCAACATGAACATACCCACATGAAGGCGGAACGTGGTAAGATGCCGAGCACGAATCGATAAGGATGGGATAATGCAAAGCAAATTCACCAATCAGAGAGGCGTCGACGGGAACACTTCTATCACACAGGTAGTTCACGCTTACATCAATCATTCGCGGTGCGACATCGATGGAAACGGACTGAGAGGAGAGAACTTCATCCAAGAAAATCTTCGAATCTGGCGCAGTCTGAATACTACCTGGTTGGGCTTCCAATAACACATGTTGTGCGGCATCAATCGTGTAAATCGAAGGTAAATAGACCTGCACCTCCTTCGAGAAACTTGAGATAAGCCGAGATAATAAACCTTCATCAGTTTGAGAGACACTATCAACAAGAACAGAACTCGGCTGGGTGGAGCCAAATTTAGCCCCGTCTAAAGCATCCTTCTGACGAGGATGGTCAGCAAAAGATTCAGAATCCAAAACACGATATAAAGAGGAACCGGCAACCGACGATTCAACCAACTCAACCGAACGCGAAGTACGCACAGGAGACTCCGACAATCCGATAGGACCGAACTGCACCCATATGTCACAAACAGCTGGCGCATCAGTACAAGTCCAAACATCACGAGAGGTGAAATCGAATGGATCGCTAATCCTTTCAGAATACACCAACGAACAACCAGAACGAACGCACTCAACTAACTGCACTTGCGATGAAAGAGCCTGGACACTGACAGACTCTGTCTTCACAACTTTAGG